TATTGGAATAAGAGTTCACTTAGGTATCCTGAATTGGCATCAATGGCTCGAGATATTTTGGCTATTCTTATTTCCACAGTTGCATCTGAATCTGCATTTAGCATTGGAAAGAAGGTGATCAATCATTGGAGAAGTTCACTTAAGTCCAAGACAATTCAAGCTTTGGTTTGTCTTGAAKATTGGCTTCRTGCACAAGGCCTTGTATTAGGTAATTTTTTTATTTATTGTTTATTAAAATATATGATTCATTGATTTTTTTCTAATAGATTTTCCAATTGTATCTAGGGGGATCAAGCTTGTTAGGGGCTTCTTCAGGATCAAGGTTGTTAAAAGATGATGGAGAATCAAATAGTAGTGATGATGATGATGAAAATGTTGAACTTGATGATATGTTTTAAGTATTATAATAATATATATTTCCATTGTTTATTTGTCATTTGACATGATAACAAATTACATATGACATGGGTAGTGAATTTATCTCTTATTTTCTTTTGTAGGGTGGCTTGGAATTTGGAAGTTGGAATATTCAATCTTGTTAGTGAATTCAAGAATGAATGGAGATGGCTAGAAGCCTAGAACGCGTTTTATTTGATATGGTCATATGGGCAATGGAGTCTTTTATTTTATTTTTTAGAATGGCTTGAAACTTGAGAGTTGGAATATTCCATCTTGTTGGTGAATTCAAGAATGGATGGAGAACATGTTTTATGGATTTTGTTTGTCTTATTCAGATTATTTTTTTATGACTTTGGAGGAACAAGAACTTGAAGTTATATGAATTTAGTTTTAATGTGTGATGCTATTYGTAGGAATATGAACCTATATGATTTGCTCTTATGTGTTTTATTTCAGGTTTGCCTTGGTTGTATAGAAACAACCAAACAACAGGGAATATATTAAACAACCTTAAAAAAGGTTGTTGATTTACTTGATTGTAAGAAAAAAAGAATGAAATTAAAATGGGCTATGTGATGTCCATTTGAATAATTTTTTTTATTTAAGAATGTAAAATTGTGTTTATTTAAATAGGGGAAAAATATTGGAATTAAAATACATAATGTAGGGAAAAATTTTAATTTCTTTTATTAGGTCGGGCTTCGGGCTCGGGCCCAAGTTCTAAGCCCGTTGGTCAGGTCGGGCTCGGGCTCAGGCTTAACATTTTTCCGTTAATGAAGACTAAAAGCTCGGCCTGAGCCCGGCCCATGAACATGTGTAGCTGTGAGACATTGTAGGGCGCCCCCTTCTAGGGGCAGATGTGAACTTGCTAGTGATGAATATATAACATTAGAACCTTAAAGGCATGCCGATTTTTTTCCTTTTTTTTTATTTTGGGGATAACTCTCGTATCTAACAAGATTCTTACTACAACTAGCCAAACCATCTGAGGGTGCTCAGTTGTTCCATACCCACAACCTATGAAGTCGAATTAAAGCAGAACAATCAAAGCTTCAGTCCTATCAAATGGACCCATAACTAAAATATCTGACAATGAGTGAAGGGGAAAAAGAATACCTAAAATTTGATAACTAATCCATCATAAAAAATGGTAACCACCTCAATCAGCTGGTATTCATCATGGGGTGGTTCTGATTGGATAAAAGTTCTTCTGTTATATAGAAATTGCCCTTAAAATAATGGCTTCACCAAAAAAGACATGCTGGATAAGCTTATAGACTTGCCCAAAATCAAGGTTTTTAAAATCGACGCAGACAATGAATCTGTCAAGAGTTTGGTTCTCGGGCGGAATGATACGAGCATTTGAACTGAGTAATTAGTTCGTTCTGACAAAAAATTAAAAAATAGTCAAAATCGTTCAAATGGTTCAATCACCTGGGTTAATGATTTATTGATCAAATCAATATTTTTTTTTTGACAAAAATTCGATTTTAAGAAAAAACGGAACCAAACACCTGGTCAGTTTCTAATTTTTCTGATCCAACCGTCTGATCCGATTTTGAAAACCATACCCAAAATAATAGTAAAGTTAGTAACAAGAGGAGAACATGTTGGCATGAACTAGTCGTCTCGTCGGGCTCCCAATTGGACTCTTGATGTTGATGTCATTAATTTCCTATTTCCTGTTTGGTCCGGTTTTTGGACCTTGGACCGGAGTTGATACTTTCTGACTTTTCAGCCCTCTTTTTATTTTATTCAAAAATATTTGTCCTTTTCTGACAGAAACGAAGGCTCTGAGTGACTGACTCTCCAATACATTGTTGTCCTCTGTTTTGTTTATTATTTTCATTACAGTGAGGCGTGAGCCATTTCCGGATTCCTTTCGTCTTAGCTATTTCTTTAAATCTTGTCGCTTTGTGTTTCTGAAGCCATTGTCGATTTTCGCCGTCTGGTTTAGTTTCATTTCACCTCACAAGGGAGCTTAATTTTTATTTTTTTGTCTGAAGCAAAATATCCCGATCGAGTAGTATTAGAGAGAGAGAGAGAGAGAGAGAGAGAGAGAGAGAGAGAGGGAGAGATGGTGTCAGAAGTTGTTCTAAAGAACTCGAATCAGAAGCTGTTATCTGCTGTTGTTCTCTTCTTTCTTTTACTGAATTGCTTCGGAGGGTTCAGATCTCAAGCGCAAGTCTTACCGGAGGTCGAAGGTACATCTCTCTCTAATGAAAAACTTGCCGTATTTTCTTTTTGAACAATTTGTTTTGATGATTTCTCCGTTTTGTCCGACCGTATCAGATTCGTTAAATTGTCAATCTCGTCTTCTATAGTTTTAGTTTCTGTAGATTAAGAAGCGTTACCGTTAGCGACGGGTAACGTTTCCTCAAAATAAGAGAAATTAAAATTCTTTCACTTTCTGGTCAGAGATTAATTTTTGCTTGAATCGAGATCTTGTTTCCTTTTTTTTTTTTTTTTTTGAGGCACAAATTGCAAAGAGTACAAATACATTTCCAAACTAGCCCAAGAAATCAATCGATAAATAGCGATAAACGTGTAAGAAGGGAGAGAGAGAAAGAGAACGACAATTTACACTTTTACAGTGTTCACAGATAGGGCTAGAGACGGTCGCCACCGTCCTGTCGTTTCATGCACATTTAGTCTGGATCAGTTAACTGAAACATTTTTAGTTCACGTGGCATCATTTCTTTTTCTCTCTCTCCTCTTTCAATGGCGATGATGGCAATCAACGCCTTTGATATTTAGTGCCCTTTTGGGAGGAGTCCGATCTGCTCCCTACAAAAGCCTATTTCAATAATGTTCCAATGTCTCAATACAGTAAGTCCTATGATCAGGATTTGCGAACACATATAGGAATAGATCTCATCTCGTTTTGTTTAGGAGGGTTCAACTGAAGATTCAGCTAAGTTAAGCTACTAAGCTGGTTTGGTTGCTTTGAAGCGAGTCTGGATCTGCTGCTCAGAAATATGTTTCTACGAGTCCAGAGATTCACTTTTGGGTATAATTGTTTTTTATAGCTTTTCTGAAAAAATCAGTAAACGCAAGTCAATCAACATTGAAAGCCCTCCCAAACAACAGGTTTTAGTTTAATTTACACATAGTCCTGTTATTCCTGTAGTCCAACTCGTTTTATAAGTTTTTCAATGAATAATTTTAAACATTTTGACTGTTGAGTGATCTTTTCTTTTTTGGGGTAAATTATAAATACCCTTATGGGTTCATTGACAAATATCTCCTGAATTTTTATTTATAACAAAGACCCCTTTGAATTTTCACTTTACAATAAATATCCCTTCGTTTTTGAATTCTGTTAGTTAACTTTGAAAAAGATTCTCATTTAACTATTTAATTTTTTTTAAATCTCTAAATTGCCCTTGATTGCTCTAATAGATTTATGATTTATGATTCATTTAGTTTTCAAAATGTAATATTGAAGTCCCCTTGGTTGCTCCAATACATCATTGCAGATTTTTGGTTGGATTAAATATTCAAATAAAATGATAGATATTTCTTTTTGATAGATATAAATTTATTGTTTCATTTGGTTTTTCTTGATTTATTAGAACAAGGAGTGTACAAAAACAAAAACAAAACGATGGAATACAAATAAGGTTTTTTGAATTTCTTTGGACTCCATTTGGAATTGCTATGCAAAGGTGGCACTCTTTGTACTTGTTATGGCTACTCAGGAGGTTAGAACCCAGCCTCGTTTTTTTTTTTTTTTTTAATTTCGTCAACAAGTACAGAGATGCAAATTCCAAGGTTTTAAAAACCGATTCAGAACCGAAACCGTTTTGGCCACCGGTTTCGGGTCAAAGGTTTTGATGTAACTGGTTCCAGTCATGTATCATTTTTTCGTGATGTGTCAATTTTTTGGTTAAGTATCTCGTCATCTCGTCTGCTCCCATGTGATTGGTGACTCAGAGGTTGAAGTGGAGCTCCCTGGTGGCGAGCTTCCTGGAGGTGAGTTACATTGATGAGCTACCTGGTGGTGAGCTACCTTGATAAGTTGCCTGGATGTCAAGCTCCCTAGTGTAGTGCAACCCGACTGCTACCGGTAGGAGGTGATCTCTGGCTATCAACAACGACGGGAACTGAACTGGCTACTCCCTGCTGGCGATGATCTGCTCATCTTTGTAAGCGGCGGGAGCTGAGGGACCTGCGAGAACATCCTTTCATCCTCCTCTTTCCCCTTTGGGGGGTGAGGTCTTTATATACTGGAGTCCTCGTGGGTTAGGTGGAGCAGTTCCTGGATTACCGCTGTGATGGGACCTGCTTTCGTGTTAGGTGGGGAAAAAGCCACCAACTAGTAAGGTTGCCCATTTCCGCCTGACTCGGGGAGTGGGTAAGCTAATATAGCCATTACAAGTCACAATCCCGTAAAATGCAGGGTACGGTGGTGAGCTCCTCGAGCTTGTCAGGTTGGCGCCTGTGTTAGGCCGCTAGGTCGGTGCCTGGCCCACGCCGCCAGCTCGTGCTAGGGCCAAGTCGCGCCAGGGCCAAGCTACCAGCTCGTGCCAGGGCCAGGTCGCGCTAGGGCCAAGTTGCCAGCCCGTGCCAGGGCCAGGTTGTGCCAGGGCTAGGCTACCAGCTCGTGCTAGGGCCAGGTCGCGCTAGGGCCAGGCTGCCAGCTCATGCCAAGGCCAGACTGCCAGCTTGCGCCTGTGCCAGGCTATGCCTAGTGGGACACCATCAACTTAGCAAAGGCAAGTTGTTTCCAAAGTGGTCTTGGGTGTCACCTAGTTGTTCTGAGGTGCCAGGCTACAAGATGGCGAGCTGCCTGTGTGTTGCATGATGGCGAGTTGTCTAGTGGTGAGCTACCTGTGAAGTGCTGCATGGTGGTGAGTTGCCTGTGTGTTGCATGATGGCGAGCTGCCTGTGAAGTGCTGCATGGTGGCGAACTGCCTAGTGGCGAGCTCGAGCTGTTTATCTGTCAAGAGGCTGCACTTAGTTGGCATGAGGTGCCAGGTGTCACAATGTCATTGAAGGGCCAAATCCACCCTCATCAGGTTTGACTGTCCAATTCAAACAGACAACTCATTCCAACTAAAAATCAAAAAATAATTAAAATAAAAAATAGTCAAAACTGTTGAATGGGTCAAATGGATCAACAGTTTGATTGCCCAGGTCAATAAATCACTAACCAATTCAACGATTTTTTGCCAAAGACCGAGTTTGAAATAAAACAAAATTGGTTACCTAGATAGTTCTTGGGCCAAATGGTCCGATCATCCAGGTCAATAACAATTAAAAAACACTGACAAATTTCCATTATGGAATCGTAGCCTTCCAAGTTTTGAGGTGATAAGAATCCATAAAGAATGAATTAGAAATTAGAAGCAATCAATACCATATGTCTTGCATCGAGCGTATTGTATCGTGAGGTTTTCCATACACCCGTTTAAAGGTGTTTTTGAGAAATCACTTCTTTTATTTATTAAATAATATAAAATTATATATATAATGAAATTTTGAAAAAAAAAATCTAAAACAAAATAAAAAAACATAGGGTAAAAAGTATCCATACACCATACATCTGGATAAAATCCATGGTTTTACCTAATAAGTAAAGGCTATCTAGATTGACACCGGAAACTGAAGTAAGAGGAAGGGAACTCGGCTTCAGTCGGTGCAAGGCCTGTTCGAACAGCCTTGATGGCCTTGCATCGGGAGCATCTTCCCATAGGTATGAAGATATTCTCAATGCAAGGCTGTAAAGGCTGTTCTAAAATAGTGTTCAAACAAGTTTTGCACTGACTGAAGCTGATCAAACCTGAGCTCACTGAACGCACGGTCATGGAACCACCTCATCTCATCTAACCATGAAAATAATGAAAAGCAAAAACGGAGAAACAGAGAGGGACTATAAATGAAAAGGCTATTTTTCTTCTTCTTATTGCCGATTTAAGAGAAAGAAAAAAAAAAGAAAAGATTTAGTACTAGTGAAGAGAGAGAGAGAGAGGAATAAAAGGTAAATCGGTTGTGGGTCTGAGTGCAGAAAATGGGAAACAGAGAAATGGTGAAAAGTGTAAAGGCATGATCAAGAAAACAGATCAGGAGAATCCACATCAGAACTAAAGGCTTGCAAATTTTGTTTCATTGCTCCTCGTTAATGCTAGCTATCGATAGTCATATAGACAGTGAAAGGCTTGTTTATCAGTAAATGCTCATTTCTCTCCATTATAACTTTTATACTTTATAGGTATGCTTTAAGCAGTGTATTTCAGACAAAAGGAAAAAACAAAGAACTCCCAACAACATAATATTGTTCTGATGTTTATGTTTTGTTTGTTTGTTTGTTTGTCTTTTTTTTTTTCCATGGTGCGGAAAACCCCAAAGAGCTTTGTAATCCGATGTGTTTTTAGTACAACCAATGCAATGAACGACAATATGGTCAAGGTTTCCACTAATAAGTAGAAAAGAGAGAAAGGAGAGGACTCTTTCATGCATAAAAAGAAAATAGATATATTTTTTTAAAAAATATACAATGGAGTAGTTAGCACCTTTTAGTTATTTCATGATGTAGAACTCTTATCACATGAATAGAAACAACTGATATTATTTTATTGAGTTAGTAGAGAGGGCATAAAGTTAGTAGAGACTGCACGAGCATATAAAAAGCCAATATATATTTAAAAAATATATAATGGAATAGTTAATTAAGACCTCTTCGTTATTTCATGAAGTGGGACTCTTATCACATGAGTAAAGACGACTGATTTTTTTTTTTTTTGGGCAAAGAAGAAAATTCATATCAATTAATTAACTACATGCCAAGGTAAACTAACTTGCCGAGTTGCCGGTAAGGTCTAGGCTTGTCGGGGATTTGGGATCCGCCTTCACTGGGAATGGAGTTCTTCCTTTTCCTGTTTTTGTTTTATTTATTTATTTATTATTATTAGTAGTAGTAATTAAGTGTGTTCATTTATATGTAGTTTTAAATTATTATTATTATTATTATTATTAAATTTTGTATTCTATTTCTGGCATAAATAAAAATATTTTTTATTTAATATGATGAATATACAACATTAGAAATGTTTCCAAATGTTTTTGGCAAAATTCTTTACTTTTTCATTTTTTGTGTTTTATCTTTTTTTTAATATTTATTATTCAATTATAGCATCATGAGTTTCTTTGAAAAATTAGACCATTGACCCACCATATAGGTAATAAAATAGTTTTGCTTTTTGATCAGTTTTAAATTATATATTTCATCTATATTATATAAATAATTACTATCACACTTGATTTTTGTGTGACATAATTAATATATAATTTTTATATATTCTTTTGATTACTTGTACTTTTTATTTTTAGAGATTTATTATTTAACTATTATATCATCAATTAATCTATTTAACCCAAAACACTAACCCACCACCCAAAAAGAAAAATAGTTTGATTTCTAGGTTGACATTAAATTTTGTATTACATCTCCATCATTGACAAAATTATTTATTATGTATAATACTTATTTTTGTTCAATATAATGAATGCATAATATTACAGATGTACCCAATATTTTATTTTTTATAAATATATAACATTAGATATGTGCCCAAAGTTTTCTTTATTTTTTTTATTTTAGTGATTCTTTGTATTTTCTATTTTTTAAAAAAATATATTATTTGGCTATGATATCATTTTATTTCTAGGTTGATTTTAAATTTGGCATTCCATTTTCATCATTGATGAAAATACTTCTTACATTTTATACTTATTTTTGTTTAGTATAATGAATATACAATATTAGAGATATGCCCAAATCTTTTTTTGTATTATATATTTTATTTTTTATTATTTAATAATGGCATTATTTATTAACTCATTTGATCCAAATGGTTGAATACTTGAATTGCTTACCCACCACTTGGAGGGAATAAAATGGTTTTGTTTTCAAATTACTTTTCAAAATATTTATTTTTATATTATTAAAATTAATATTGTAAATTTAATTAATATAATTTAATAATAATAAAAATATATATTAAATATAGGATTTAATGAGAGAATACACCTTAAATATGAGATTTAATTAGAGAGAATATAAATATAGTTTTATTTTCAATTGGTTTTAAATTTTATATTCCACTTGCATCGTTAATGAAAATATTTATTATCTTTTATACCTATTATTGTTTAATATGTTGAATATATGATGTTAAAAATGTTTCCAATTTTTTAAATTTCAATATTTTTTGCATTTTATCTATTAATTGAATTTTATTATTTAATTGTGACAACATGGATTGACTCATTTGACCTAAAATGGTTTAATTTCTTACCATCACCTAGAGAAAAACACTATTTTTTCCAGGTAGATTTTAAAAGTTTAAGTTTTTATGTTATTGAAATTATTAGTTTATTATATATGGATTTAATTAATAGAATTTAATGATGATAGGAAACAAAAATGCCTTAAATATATGATTAAATGGAGGTAAATGCAAGTTAATACCTTAAATGTTGGATTTAATGAGAGAGAATTGAATGCATTGAATATCTTAAAATTACCTCTTTTCAATTCATTTAATATCAATAACAAATTACCCTAAATGCCCTATTTTTTATCAATAAATGTAAATATGAAGGGTAAATTTTGTCTTAAAAAATCTAAGAATATTCTTGATGCTATTCATACTTTAAAGTAGCATGAATTATTATTATTATTATTATTATTAAAGGAAGTAGGGATGACAATTTTCCCCATTTCCTTGATCCCCGTGGGGATCCGCCACGAATGGGGTGGGGATGGAGATGATTATCCCCTAGTGGGGACGAGAATGGAGAAATTTTCATCCCTATTAACGGGGACAGAGAGAGCATTCCTCGCCCCGCGGGATCCCCACTAATATATATGTATATGTATGCATACGTTATATATGTATATATGTACACATACATCTATATATTAATATATTTTAAAAAATATGGTTCAATATGTTTGAATATTTTCTAATGGGATTGTAAATTTTAATTATTTTATTTTTATTTTTTTAAATAAAATAAAAAACAAAAACAAAATGGTTAACATTATAAAAAATGATGGGGAATGGGGATGGGTATAACCTTGCCCCCGTTAGCAGGGATGGGGATGGGGATTTTCGCGGGACGGGGATGGGGAGAGAAGCAATAAATTACATACTAGTGACCAGGGATAATAATGGCAGTAGGTAGGGTATCCGTGAAAATTGCCCTTCCCATTTTTCAAAGCTATTTAAATACCCTTGATCCCAAATCCATTTGCCTTTTCTCCCAATTAGACCTGTTCATGGGCTGGGTGGCCCGACGGGCCGGCTCGGCCCCCGAACGGGCTTGAACATGTATATAGGCCCGCGGGCTTAAACTCGGGCCAAAAAGCCCAGCTCGCAATAAATTCGAGTCGGGCTTGGGTTTTGTCAAAATAGCCCGGCCCGGCCCGACCTAAAATTAGACTTAAAAAGGGTTATGTGATTATGTCCATTTGAATAAATTTTTTGATTTAAGAATGTAAAACTGTGTTTTAAAACGTAAAAGAAAGGGAAGAAAACCATCTTGTAGGCCCATTGTTTATTTAAATAGGAAAAAAAACCATATGAATTTTTAATTCTAATTTGAATAGGGAAAGTTGTAATTTTTTTTATTAGGTCGGGCTTCGGGCTCGGGCTCGGGCCTAGCGTATTTCCATTAATGATGAATAAAAGCCCGGCCCGGCCCATGAACAGGTCTACTCCCAATTTCCCAAACCCGTCTTGACCTATCCCACCTGATTAATATTTGACATATTATTATTGCTATCATTTTTTAAATTTGAAAGTACTAAATGGATGGACTGCTAAATAAAGTCAATTATAGTGAGTTTAATGGGCATTATTAAGGTAACTAAATTTGAATAGCAATTTTGAAAAATGATAGCAATAATTGGATATGTCAAATGATAATTGAGTGAGATGGGTCCTGACTAGACTTGTTCATGGGCTAAGTAGCCCGACGGGCTAACTTGGCTTGGACTGTCCTAAATCGGGCTTGGACAAAATTTTAAGCCTGCAGTCTTGGGCTTGGGCTCTAAAAATCGGGCCCAACTATTTTTTGGGTTGTGCTCGGGCTTTCCTAAATAAGCCCGATTCAATAATATTAAATATATAATAGAGATATAATACATTAGTAATATATAATATATATTATACAATAGTAAAATTAGTAGCAAAAAAGTATTACATATATTAAATGTATAAAATATTATATAATATATAATTAATATATTATAAAATACCTACCAAAATTCGACTTCGAGCTCAAGCCTGGGCTTCAAGCTTTATACAGGGATGGGCTTGGGCCTAATAATTTTTTGTTTATAAAGAGGCAAAGCCCAACTCGAACCTTGCCCAGCTCGACCAACTGGCCCGTGAACAGGTCTAGTCCTTACGGGATTAACAAATTTGTGATTGCCTTTGAGAAATTAGAGGAAAAGTTAAACCGGTTGAGATCAAAGGTACCTAGGTGGATTCACAAATGGGAAAAGGAATTTTCACAGGTATCCTATCTGTTGCAATCCCTAAACTTGGTTTGAGGCTCAGTCAAATCAAGCTTTTTATTAGCCAAGATAAAAAAACTCGTGAAAAACTCAAATGGTATCCACCCCTATTCACTACACATTCCTGTGATGTGTTCTAAAGCATTAGGAAACGATATATAAAGATTTTTGTCAAAATATATTACATCATTATTTATTGAGTGTCCAAGGTGTGGCATGCCATAGATTACAAAATTTTGATGTGTTTCAAAATTTACTTATATTTTGCATTCTAAAACGGTACCAAACACTCCTTAAAATTTTCAATTGAGACTAACCATTTTCCTCTTAGGCTGATAAAAGGTGTGGGACCCTTGTTTAGATGTAACCAATGGCCCAGGCCATGTGAAATGAGAGCTTGGTTGCGAGGAATGCATATGCACTTTATAGTTAAACAACCATAGGGTTCAGCTAATCATTTAACCTTCTGCCTTGTCATGGTGTATAGTTGGTCAACTGGCTCAAAACATCTGTTACCTTTAGGTTGCTTGTCGATGTGTATGTTTTTGCTTTTTGAAACATTGCATTTGTTTTTGTTTTACCAAAAAAAAAAAAAAAAAAAACAGAAAGGAAATAACCATGGGCCAACTCCCGTGATCCCTTATTGCCAGTTCATAATATGACTGCCAATTCGTCTAAGTTCAAGTAACCATCGCCAATAGATGTTTTTTTTACCTCCTCGATGTGAAATAACATTAATGTCTTTTAGAAAGAGAAGTGAATAATGGAAAACATACATTTCTTCCAAAGAAAATTACCAAGAATAGTAGAATACGGACGATCTTATTATTTTGTCCAACGCAACGAAGAAGATAAAATTTCCTATACAATTTGGTAATTGGTAAGAGTGGTTTAAAATTTTTGAAATATTAATAAACAAAATGAGTGTTTGGCAATTCGGTTGGGTTTCTTAGTCCAAGCTCAAAGGGTCTATAAATCTATTATATATGCATATCTGATCATATGTCTACAAGATTCTTAGCCCAAGCCCAAAGTGGAAAAAAATGAAAAGGAATTGCATTCATCCATAATGTCATTATTAAGTTATCAACAATCATTGCATCTGATTAATTTGTGCTCTGTGGCCTGTGGGAAACTTAATGCATGCTAAATTTTTAACGATTACTGGTGTTCGTTCTTGACAGTGAAGGCTCTTAAGCAAATATCAGCCAAATTAAATAACAAATATTGGAACATTAGCACAACTTCTTGCAGTAGTGGAGGTTTCAACAAGACCAATGGTCCTGCTATTCTCAGCAATGTCATCTGCAACTGTTCTTTCAACAGCTTCACCGTTTGCCACATCACAAATGTGTATGTACATTCACTACCTTCTCCCTCTAGAACCAGAGTGATTGTGCTGGAAGTGGGACCCGATGACCATTATCAGCCTGGAGAGTGGAAACATTATTCTCCTGCTATGATCTGTATTTTTGTTTTTTTTTCCTCCTCTATTTTACTTTCCTTTTACTGAATTGTAGTCAGCTGAAGGGTCTGAACCTGACTGGAGTTCTTCCTGAGGAATTTGGGGATCTTCCATATTTGACAGAGATGTAAGTGATTTTGGCATTTCAGAAAATTTCTCCATTTGAGTACGCGGAATGTTGTTTTTTTTTTTTTTTTTTTTTAATAAGCTACGCAGAATGCTGCTTGATCATCCAAATTGTGGGGCTCCAAAACACTGTCAGTATATTTCAAGGTTTGTATTTTGCGAGTCTTGTCTTGTGCATTCAGCAAATGGTATTTATGTCTCTCACCTTTCGTGATCAATGGCTTGAGAAGAGTGGCGCTATTTTTCCCAAATGACTGTTTGAGTGAGGTTTGTATTTTGTGGGTCTTCTCTTGTGCATTCAGCAATTGTTATATATGTCCCACATCTGATGATCAATGGCTTGAGAGGATTGGCGCCATTTTCTCCAAAACGGTTGTCTTAGATTTCGAGGTTTGTATTTTGTAAGTCTTGTGCGTTCAGAAAATGGCATGTATGCCCCACATCTGATGATCAAGGGTTTGAGAAGATTTGGCGCCATTTTTCTGCCAACTACCACTTAAAGGCTTCTTCTTCTTTTTCTTCTAAAACAGAGATTTTAGCCGAAACTATGTCAGTGGGTCCATTCCTGCGAGTTGGGCTCGGTGCCCTCTCATCACCATGTAAGTTACTTTTGTTGCATTTCGAGTTTTATAGCTCTGTCGGAATTATTTGATAGTATTACTTGACTGAAACCATCATGCATGGCAGATCCCTTCTGGGAAACCGCATTAGTGGATCAATTCCAGCGGCAATTGGTAGCATTAAAACGCTGGAGGAGCTGTAAGTCATGACCTAATATTCTCAGTAGATTATGTCAACAAACGGCATCTGTCTATGTTTCTGATACGAATATGGCTTCCAGGGTGTTGGAAGATAATCAGCTTGGAGGAACCCTTCCTTCAGAGCTTGGTAATTTAAGTCAGTTGAGGAGATTGTAAGGCTTCTGTTCTTATTTCCTTCTTAGTTTCTTAGTTTGTTTTTCTTTTATTATATTATACTTCAGGTTTCCAACAATTTGCATATAGTCTTCCTTACAGTTTACTTTCAGTTTGTATGGACCAATTTGTCCATTTCTGATATTAATACTGATGAAATTCTGCTGTTGTTATATCAGCAGCAGCAGCAGTAGCAGCCTTATCACTTGATTGATTGGAAGGATAAATCCTGTTCTCCATTCTAGGGCTATTTGGTCGATTAAGAAATTAGCTAAGAAATCTTCTGTTAGGACCTGAAATGAAGTTCTGCCATCCCCTTGCCTTTCTAAATCATTCAATGTAACCAAACCACTTCTTCTAACTGGGACATTGTTGGTTTTTATTCTACATATTCAGTCCATCTTTGTACTTTTTTCATCTTTTGCTGATTGGTGTTATTCCAAAGTTCCCTCAAATAAACTCATTTCTAAATTTTCTCCTCCAGCTACATCTTCATATTTGGCATGCTCATTTTACGGGTCTTTTCTTTCTTGATTACACAACATTTTGCTTTGCAAAGCATGAATGCCATCTATAAGCAATTCCTGCTGTATATTCTTTTTAGTACAGCGATTTTGTTTTGTAAATTTTCAGGTACATGGATTTAAATATTGGTCTTAGGATCTGGAGCCTAACACCCTGAAAGCTTTTTTTTCCCTCTTTTGGAAGTCCCCTGAAAGCTGATTTAGACTATATGGGTTAGGGTAGTTGGGAATAACTCAAATTACTTGTACTGATTTGATGGATATAAGTTGCAACTAAGATGCTCTCCTATGTACGTACAATGGAGCACACCATTGCAAACATTTACTCTCCCAAACTGCAATAAGCATGCAGCATAGGTCACAAATGGTTGGGGATTTGTTGGTCAAACGAAGTATACATTAGTCATCCTTGCACCACTAACTAGCAAACTCTTTTAGAAACCTATTGTCATATGATGATGAACTGTTTAAGGAACTATTACGGTATATCTGTTTTATCCTATGGGAAAGGCTATGCTACCCAGATATGGCAAAGATACAGCTGAACATGGTGTTGGATAAAAAAGGCAGCCCAGCTGCCCAGTGCACAAGGCTCCTGCCAATGCAGGGTCTGGGGAGGGACAGATGTACGCAGCCTTACCCCTGCACATACAGAGAGGCTGTTTCCAAGATTTGAAACCTGGTCACCCAGATCGCAATGGAGCAACCCAACCATTGTGCCAAGATTTGAACATGGGGTCAGATGCAAAATATAAATTAAAACATGTCACCCTTGTATAGGTATCTGGGTATCATAGGGTAAAGGAGAGATTGACTTATTCAAAGAAAGTTCACTGGTTCTTTTTAAGTTGGTCCATAATTTAGAGATAGCTGTTTAGTGCAACGTTGTCAGACTAGGACCAGATACAGAATCATTTTGTTCACTGGGTCACAGGTTGAATGGTCCAATGTCTGGTTTGACAATTTGACTTGCTCAAATAGAAAAACTCAAAAAGAAAATGGCAAATAATTCCAGATTATCTTTTAAAGCTGTTTCATGTCAAAATAAGTTTAAAAAAATAAATACTATAGGTCATAATAGGTATCAATGCACCTATTTGAGGTAGGTTTGAGTTGTTTGACCGAGTTAACAATTATAAGAACCAGGGAGTCTAAAAACCATTTTGGCTGCTGGTTCCCAGTTAAGACAGTCCAACTGTATGGTCCAGTCTGAGTCTGACAATGCTGGTTCGGTGTGTAACCCTAAATTTGGATGAAGATAATTCACAGAAAGTGGATTTCCATCTTGTCTATCTCCTTTCTCTCTAGTCCATCTTGTCTTTTCATGGAACAAATGCATTCTTTGCGGTCCTTCCATATTTCCTCTATATTGGTGATTTGGTGTTACATGCAGCTGCATATCGACGTTAGTTAGACTAGGAATAATATGTAAAGCATTTCACAGCTGAAGTTACAGAATGGGATCCTATGACTTCATCTACATATCCTTCTGATTTCATTTTTTAATATAAGCTTCCCAATATGCATGGACGGAATATATTGCAAATGTAAATTAGAATCTTCGAGGCTCCGAGCATGTGTGTCTATCCCTCTTTTCTTTTCTTTTACTATTGAGACAGGAACAAAGAGTGGAAGAAGAAGGTCCTTCAGACTGACTCCTTTAGTCCTCCAATACACCTGAGAGAAACTACTCTAGGAGGGTCAAGCCCCAAAACATCTTAGTTCTGTCTACTCCTCTCCTGGCTGAGGAATCAACTAGCTTATTGGCAGATCCCTCGATCCAGCAGGATGAGGTGTCCCTTCTGGATGCCAAGGATCTATCCTCCCAAATAAGATTTCTGCAATGCCTGTGTCCCTTCCCTCTGTCTCTCATCTAACCCACCATGATCTGAAACTATCCTGGTAACTTAGGGTATAGTCTTGAATCTCTCAGAAAAGACAGTATCCTGGCATGATCAGAGTTTCTGACATAAATGGCCTCTCTGTAGACCTAAAGAATCTAGTCATCATGACTTCTGAACACCCATCAACTCCTGAATGACTTTGACTTCCCAAACAAGAAACTTCCAAATTGAATTCATTAGCTCCTTGGGCTGGAGGAGGCATAAATAGTATCAAGGTACAATCCCCTTAGCTATTAAAAAAGCTAAATGCTGTGATCCTTTCACTATGTTGTCTTATTGAATCCTTCAAACTCCAATTTAGTGCATCATAACCATTAATAATTCTAATACTATTAGTCTATTACTATCTTCTTTTTTTATCCCTCTTGCTAACTAACATAGATTGCTTTCTCACTCCTCCAGTGTTGTTTCAGCAAACAATTTCACGGGCCCAATACCAGAAACATTTGGAAACCTAAGGAGCTTGACAGAATTGTAAGTTGTTATTACCAATTTGGGCAGCTGTTACTTTTGAGATTATATTTTCCTAAATTCCATTACTACTTACATACATGCAGTAGGATAGATGGAAATGGTATATCTGGGAAAATGCCTAATTTCATTGGGAACTGGACCAAACTTAAAAGCCTGTGAGTACCTTGATATTTAACTTAATTTCTCTGCAATTTGTTACCTTATTCAAGATGGACAACAATTACTGTTATCTAAAGATACTTTATATCAACCACCATTTCAAACTGTTGCAGTGACATGCAAGGTACATCCTTAGAGGGCCCTATTCCTTCTACAATCTCCCTCTTGAAAAACTTAACTGAACTGTGAGACATCATTCCAGTCTTTTGTATCTTTTATATTAAGTTTAGAGACCTTTTTTAACTTAAAGCAATGAAGATAGAACGGCGGTATGAGTTTTTCTGATATGATTGCATTTCAAATTTCAGGAGGGTGACTGACTTGATTGGATCGAATATGAGTTTTCCTGACCTCCATGGCATGAAATTCATGATTGAATTGTGAGCTCACATATGCATGGTGTGATTGCATGGAAATGTTTTTTGTGGTTCCTTTAACCCATGAGGTGTTTGGCTTTGTTTGTGTTCTCTAGGATACTCAGAAATTGCATGATTGTGGGCCAAATCCCCAACTACATTGGAGAAGAGATGACTAGTATTAAAAAGATGTAAGTTTTACAGGGATGGATACCTTTTTCTAGATATTTTGTTCTATTAACTTCATTTATGTGTTGGTTTTTCTGGATGCTGAGTGTTAGTTCGGCTGGTTTAGTGTTTATGTTAGTCATATTTGTGTCTTAAGTTCTTAGTTATTGGGCCTAAACTTGCTTAATTTTTTATTTGTCTAGGTGTCCCATCACTAATCAGGGGCATTCTAGTCCATTCATGTAACATTACTTTGTAAACATCTATATAAGATTGTAGGGCCGGCTGAAGTGAGTAAGCCGCCATTCTCAAATCTTCTTCTCTTCTTCTTCTTCTTTGGCTGTTGTTTTCCAGCAAACATGGTATCAGAGCGCTAATCCGTCTGTCTGGTTACAGCCGCCTCTTTTCTCCTCTTCTCTATTCCTTTTTTTTCTCTTTCTCTCTCTCTCCTATCTTGGCCGTTGTGAAGAAACCCTAGGGATGACCGTAGAACACAGCAAGTTCTGTATCTAGGGTTTCCCTTGGTTGTAGGGCCCAAGGGGAGTTTGTTCCAAAAGCTGATGCCCTACTAGACACCCTGCAACAGGTAGTAGCCATTCGGCTGCTAAGAGAGATCTGTGTGGAACAGATCTAGGTGGAAGGACTGAATGAGACAGTCCTAGTACAGATCGTAAGGGTGATCACAGTCTACGACAACAGAAGTCAAAGCCCAACCTAGTAGTTCAGCATAGTACAGAGGTGGATTGTTCTTGGTTTCAGACCTATTACGAGGGGTTCTTAGACTTGTAATGGCTTCGGTAAGTCTGAAATCGTGTTCTTTGTATTGAGTTTTCAATTGTGATCACTGTAAAAGGAAGGAGATGTCTTCAATATTGGGAGAAGTGTCTTTTAGGGATAATAGAATTGGTAGGAGGTCTTCTAATCTGGAAAACCCAAATCTGCACAGCTTGCAGATTACCAGTGTATTGTTGGATGAATATAACTTCAGAGAATGGTCTGTTTCAGCCATGCTCTTCATTACTTCCCGGGAACTTACGGGTTATTTAGATGGACAGAAGAAGGAACCTGAAGTGGGTAGTGTGGAGTATGCAATATGGCGAAAGGAAAATGCTACTGTTATGTCCTGGCTGCTTGCTTTGATGACTCCAAGAGTGGCCAGGACTGTTCAACACTTTCCCATTGCTGCTAAGATTTGGGAGAAAGTGTCTAAAACTTATGGACAGAGAAAAAACAATGCAAGAATTTATAGGTTAAACCAAGACATTGCTGCATTGAGACCAGGAGATATGACAGTTGCAATGTATTTTGCAACCCTAGAAGGAATATGGGAAGAACTTGATCATCATCTTATTCTTGGTTGGGAGAATGTAAAAGACAAGGAGAGGCATGATAAACAAAAAAAGAGGGGGAATAAGAATCCGCTTTATTTTCTTCTTACCATTTGATGTCTAGCCAAGATAAGATGAGAGTTGCTGACGGTTCTCTCTCCACCATCTCTGGGAAGGGGGGGGGGGTTGACCTAAGCAAGGACCTCTCTCTTAAATCTGTTCTACATGTTCCCAATCTTACTTCCAATCTCTTATCTGTTTCGAAGCTTACCAAGAATTTAAACTGTAACATAACTTTCTTTCCCACTCGTTGTGTCTTTCAGGACAGACTGACAAAGAGAATGATTGGGAGCGGTCATGAGTGTGGAGGTCTCTACTATTTTGATGCAGACATCAGTTTGGCCTTACAATCATCTACTGCCAGTAGTCAGAATAATGAGGAGTCAATAGCTAGGTTACACTTGTGGCATGTGAGGCTAGGTCATTTACCTTTTTCATCATTGCAAGGGTTGTTTCCTGAATTATTCAAGGGTATTTCAAGTCAAAGTTAGTTTGTGAAGTGTGTTAGTTGTCAAAACAATGTAGAACTCTTTATCCAATTTCTAATAATGAAATTCAAGTTCCTTTTGATTTGGTCCATTCTGATGTTTGGGGCCCTTCACCTCTTGTTTCTGTAGATGGCTTCCGTTACTTTATCAGTTTTATTGATCACTATTCTCGATGCACATGGATCTACTTGTTAAAAGGACGTGATGAAGTGCCACGGATAACCATGGCATTTTGTAAAATGATTGAAACTCAATTTGATAAGAAGATTAAGCAACTCCATAGACAATGCTGCTGAATATTTTGAAGGATCCTTGAACCTGTTCATGGAGGATGCAGGCATGCTACACCAGTCATCTTGTGCTAGTACCCCTCAACAGAATGGGGTTGCTGAGCGCAAAAATAGACACTTATTGGAGACCACTTGAGCTTTACTATTTCAGCACAAGGTTCCCAAGCACTATTGGTCTCAAGCAGTCCTTACCGCATCATATCTGATAAA